AGTCGCTCAAAAACTGGCCTGTTTCTGGAAGATTGGGGCCGTGAAGGGTAAATAGTGCCAAAAGTTCAAATAAAAATGGCGATGAGCAATGCTTCTACTTTGCTACACTTTACCTAGACTGGGACAATCGCAGAGTAGAAGCACCCTATTGAACTCTAAACCACTCTGTCGGGATGGATCCACACTTTCCTTCACCCAGAATTTCTTCGGACTAATCAGAGCCACACTTTCTTATTTCTCAAGTATTTTCTGGAGTACTTCTGGAAACTTCCTCCTTTAAAACCTTCACGTCTTACTTTCTGCTGGGCTTCTGTCATCTAGTTTCTCATCATTTCCTTGATTATCTGCCACCTAATATTTCTTCTCTTGGTCACATCTTTTCGGGAACTCCTTTCCGAACCAAGATTCTCAAAAATATACAGCTTCCCTAGTGTTGGCCCGCGCGGCGATAGCAACGTCGCCCGGACTTAGGCTGCGTTTATACTTTGCGGCAGCGTAGCGTAGCGCTTCCAGCGTACGCCAGCGGCAGTGCCGGGGAGAGGATGCATATCGATCTAGCGTTCCCAGCGTCACCAGCGTAACGCTAGCGTTTCCAGCGTTTCACCAGCGTTTTGCTGGCGTTTGCAGCGGCAGGGGAGTAGGACTATGGCCGTAAAGACGCGCAAATCAGAAGTGTATTGAGAGACTATGTGCCGTGAGAGACGCGCAACGATGTTTGTTTACCCCCAGCACTCCCATAGCACTGCGGTGACGCTCCGGAAACGGCTACGATCGATTATGCATCCTCTCCCGGCAAACTGCGCGCTGGCGTATGCTGAAGCGCTACGTTACCCTACGCTGCTAAAATTATAAACGCAGCCTTATTCTAATGACAGACACTAAACGACTTTGCGGGTGCTAGCCACTCTTGCCGCTGAAAATTTTCATCATGTAAGGCGTGCAATGTAATGATTATCTCACGTATAACCAGAACATATCCATAGTCACGAAGCGCACAATAATCAGCTTACGAACTGCACAAGAAAGTGGTGATTCATGCGATCACGACTGCCCACCTGAAAAGGTATTAGCACTCCGCCATTGACCACAGAGATCGTTTCAAAGCATAAACATGAATTGAGAAGCTCGGCGCTGGTCCTTCACACCCCTCCTATCCCTTCGTCGGCTTAGAACAAATCCATTCAAAAATAACTTTTGAACAAGCCCACTAATTTACCTTTTCTAATGACTTTTCTTTGTAAGAAATTCCCGGATGAACTAACCAGAAATCCTGTGGTGACTTGAGAAATGTTATTGGTAGAAGGCACACAGCAAGAATAATAACCACAAAACAGTAACTGAACTCCGCATCAGAAAAAGTCTGTAATTTAATTGTTCAGAAGTATTCTGAAGAAGACAAAGAACAATGTGGAACAAATTTTTCACCTTGATCATGTCGTGAATATTCTTAGAGGCCAGCAACAGGTACACTACGGCTATACCAAATTGAGTGATATCTATACATATCGAAACAAGTATCCTAAAATGGTACGGTTGCAGCATTATCGGTGGGAAGCGTGGTTGTAAATTTCTCTAGAGAAGTCGGTAGCAAGGTAGGTTGGGACGTGGGTAGCATATGGGTGGGTAGGTAGGCAGCTGGGCAAGTAGGTTTAGCTAACATGAATCAGCCGGAACGGTTTCAGGAAGCGTGGAGAGAACCCTTGCCGGCTGGGTGTTCTAACCTCATTTGTTTTCTTCCAGAATCGGTCACTACTGGTAGAAAACGCATCTACTCATCACCTTGCCACACACGCGGCAAATTTTAGCGACAACGTGACGCTGCGTACGAGTTTCCCAAAGGCAGCAACTGATCACGGCCCGCGCCCGAATCAGAGAGGGACGGGGCAACACCTGTTCTTTTTGTCGGCAATTGATTTTGAGAATTTCTCTGCAGTGATATCCGCGGGAAAGCCACACAGAACTCTTTCGTGGCAACACAAGGTGGTTAGGTGGGATGTTTTCACTCTGCCGTACTGAAATGACCAAAGAAAAGGAGCTTGACATAGCATTGTGGGTATCTGCCAGGGCAAATATTTTGGTCGAGTCGCACGACCCCTCCATGTTTTCTGGGTTGATACGACCTGCCACAACTAGCTGGCCCGCTTCATGCCTCATCGGATTCAACAAGTCCTCCGAGCGGGGAGGAGGGAAGGGGGGTGCGAGGCGTATATGTAGGTATATAGTACATACGAAACAGGAAAATTACGAAAAGTCAGTCACCACTCCCAGCACTTCTACGAAGCCAGAGAGTAAATACGACCCCACCCTCCCAACGATGAGCAAGTACGCCCCCCTCCCTTTACAACGTCCGTGAAGCGAGAAAAATCAACTATCAAAATAAATTTTTCTCAGCCCAAATACGACCCCCCTCTCCCGGCGACCAAATACGACCCCCTGTTAGGGATTCCCCAACAACGATATGCCCTGGTATTTCTCCGGATATTAGTCATGAATGAAAGCTAAACTTACTTGACGATTCTGCCCATAGCGCGGTACCCGATTTCAGGGTATGGTTTCCGGCAATGTTCTCGATACTCTGGCCATGTATTCAACAGAATATTCCAACTGAGCCCTAATACATAAGCAGTATACGTGACGACGGCCATCATCACGACAGAGATAGCCAATCCCGGATAGAATTCTGAATGCAGCTAGTCTTCTTCACACTTATTTAAATAGTATGAGATATTTGTACACCAGCTAAAGGCTCAACGGCAGAATTGTAGAGCTTCCCTTTTTCCTGGATATCTCGTTACCCGATTCTGAAGCGGGTTTATTGCTAACGCTTTGGCTTATTCTGGTTTATTCATATGTGATGAGGTGAAGTAGTGCCAAAGTAGCTGCTTACCAGGTGCGGTCCGAGGGTCATATCGAGGATCGGCTCCCGTCCAGGCCAAGCAACCTTCTATCTCTGAAGGTAATTTGGTACAAGTCTGAGAGGCGTAAAAACACCCACCGTCTCCCTTCTCAAGGCTCACGTGAATAGGTCACACATACACTGAGGCTACGATTTGAAGGAACGATAGTGCACGTTTCAAGATGGGGATACTCTATTAGGTTGTCGGAAAGGAATTGGGTTTGAGTTAAAAAAGGTGTGATTATAAAAGATTAAACAAGATTAAAATTCAAACACAATCTCTGTTCAATGATTGTTGTTCCTTTATGCAAACTGGATTCTTTCTGAAGACTCGCCGGCGCGATTCAAGAAGTTGGACCGGTTGGACCTTTTTCGCTGTTTTGTGAATTTCTCTCGCCAGGGAGTTTGCATCTACCGTGAACAGTGGTTCGATGGTGCAGGTCTGTATGTGTGGCGGATGAGGCAGGACTTTCCAGCCCAATTCCTCAATTTTTTTCTAGAGTGATTTTCGCCACATGTGGATGAGCGTTGTCGTGGATAAATTTTGTCGACGTCGTTTCGACACTTTGAAGACGCAGTGCTGGATCCATGCGGTTCAATTGGTGTTTGCAGATGTCCGCCGTAACCGTCTGACCCGATTCCGGAACTTCAAAGTACATCAAACCTTTGCTATTCCACCAACACGGAGCATCACCTTTTTGCCGCGTATATCAGGTTTCGGAGTCCGTTTTGGAGGGTCACTGGAGTCTAACCACTGTCCTTTTCTTGCGTTTATCGAAGCAGACCCTTTTTCATTTGATGTAATAATAGAGTCGAAAAAACCGCTGTTCTTGGAGCGACGAAGAATTCCGGCCATTGCCACTCGTGTTGCCTTGTTTGCGTCGCTCAGCTGGTGCGGCACCCGCTCTTCCCAACTTTTTTTCCCCAAAAAAAGCAAAGTAGACATGGACAAAATATATCAAAAGAAGCACAATAAAAATCTCTTTCTAATAGACGAAAACCTTGTTAATTTCAAGAATAACGCCCGAACAATCCAGGGATAATGATACGAATATTCTACCTCTTCTATTCAGCTAGCCGTGATTAATTCAATGCGAAGATGGCTATGCAATGATTTGCGTGGCAGCCGATAAAAAGTATGTTTTACTCTCGCAGACCTGTTTAATTGTTCGCCCTAGAGGCTAGAAGGCTTGGTTGACCTGGGTGGGAGCTGATCCGGGACTTGATCCCCGGACGTATGCGTAGCTAGGGGTGCCAGTTGCCTACACCACCACCTCCTCCTCCAAGTCGTATAATCCACAAACACTAGAGACAATTTTGGCAATGGGCATAGGGTCTTATTGCTTTTGGACTTCGATTTCGGTTTATCAATTTTGTATTGCATTGTTCAAGAATGCTCGATTGCAGCATTTCGGCCACGATGTTGCAGGGGGGGGCGGGTGGGATATTGTTTTTGTGAGTACTTTAGAATTTGGCATCGGCTGAAAAAGTCGTAACTTCGCTCGAAACGAACTCTTTGGCTTCAAGAACTGCTCACTATCTCCTTAACTTCAGCATTTCTGACGTCATCTCATTAGCGCACAAAAAGACCCACACCGTTAAAGATAAGTTTCCGATAGATTACATCACTTGAACGTGTCGAAGCGCTGTTAGTCCACAAAGATTATAACATGGGCATGTCCACGCTCCGCTACACTTTAGTGGGGGGGAGGAGTAGGAGAGGGGGAGCTGGGTGAAGGATCTAAACGAGCTTCTCTTTCCGAATTCGGTGTTTGAGAGCATTCCTGAGATGGCATTATAGGTGCTAGGCGGATAGTGAGCAGTCTAAAACTATGAGCCAGGTTTTAGCCTTAGCATTGGCTTGATCATGTCCTCACCCAACAAGTTGGTGACAGTAGCATAATCTTTGCTCCTTCAAGTGGCAAGTAGAAATCAAAGTTGATGGACTGATAAGGTGCTGACAACTTGAGTTTACGACATGTTCGTAGATATGGCTGAATTTTGAGCTTTCATGATCTTTTCACGTCGGCCACTGGTCGCTTGAGCTTACTAAAGTTACTATTGTCCCATTTACAAATTTATTTTTATGGATTTGATTATGATTACGTATTTCATGAACATAGGGAGGATGCCAATGAGCGAGTTCGAGCAAAGGCAGGTAGCACTGTTCATTCCCCTCTCCCAAATTTCACAGGTTGGATCGATTCCCCGCTAAGGACAACAAGCTTCTCGACAACACTCACCTCCGAAGACAGTCTTTCCTTGTGAGAGACGAATGGATCCGCAGCTGCAGTAGCGTGCCACTTTCTCTGCTCAAAAGTGCAGGGAAACGGGGCTGGAGGATAGCGGTACTTGAATGACGTCTCTCTAGTCGCCCTCCCTACCCTCAAAGTGCAGCACTTGCGAATACACCAAGGTCCCGTAGCAAAACACCCACTCAGGGGTAGAGAACAACCAAAATTGAGAGAACGCAGAGAACTAGCGCGTCAGGCGTGTGGCTGGCTGTGCGGTAGCGAGGCGGAGGAGTATGGAACGTCAGCCGGGCATCATCACCCTACAGCCCCTTTCCCGCGCACTTCCCCTCCCCGTGAAAATGGCACGTTACCGCAGCTGCAGACCTTTTCTCCCCACACAGGGCAAGGACTAGGAGGTACGGAGGATAAGGGATAGTTTGCCTTCAAAACTGAATTTATGACTACCGTGGTAGTGATAAAATGGTCTTAATCCCTGCGCTGTACTCTTCCGTACTTAACGAGATAACGAGAGGGTCTTTGAAAGTGATAAAAAGTTGGCTGTGGCCAAGAGATTGATCTTAGGTCTCCCGCCAAAATTGATATCAGGTGAATACACTAGAAGAGAATTGCCGATGTAATAGCAAGA